CAGGTTTACTGTTCAGACTTGAAGGTGGTATCAATCTTCTCAGCTAACTCCCAGCAAGACATCATATCCAAATATTTCTCAAATATCCAGACATCCAGTATCCAGTGACACAAGCTTCCCTGTTTACCTTTTCTTGGTCATCAGAATCTCCACCGGCTCATCTGTAACACAATACAGGGAAGTACGTCAGTCTGCAGAGGAATACACTACAATGCATCGGTCTCAGATTTTCCACTCGCTCCGTTCACACAAACACGCTGGAGTCTCACCAAAGGACTTGATCTTGTTTTTTTGCATGAGGCAGAGAACTATCAGACTGAGGATGAGGAGCGCCATGAAGGCCATGGCTCCTCCGGTCACGATTCCCAGCATGGGCACCTCCACACGGGACTGCAGGAACTCTGGAGAGGAAAGGAGGAAACTGATGCATGATGTGAAGCTACAGTCAAGAAATAGTTAGCTTGGCTTAGCCTAAAGACCGATTAAGAGGAAAACAGTGGTCCAAAGATAACAAATCCAGCTACCAGCACCTCTAAAGCAAACTATTTAACTCTCTGTATCTCTTTTATTAAGTGTTAAGTGTGTAAAAGTTATGCTACGGTGATTATTTTTTCTACTACTTCACTAAAGGGTGATTTATTTGCAGCCTGGTTATGATGAAGATTCCAGACAGTCACTGCCCCAGGCCAACAAATAGTCCTGACAGAACTAAAAATGGTGTTTTTACAGTTTGGTTAATCACACAAAATGCACATATTACTAATTAGTGAGCTCTACAGGTGCTGGTGAGTGTATTTTGGTACGAGCTCGTTACTCGTGTTTCCAGCCTTTATGCTAAGCTAAGCTAACCAGTTGTTGACTGGAGCACATCAGACAGACATGAGAGGGAAATTAATCAGCTCAAGTGATGCTCAGCAAGAAAGGAAATAAGTGTATTTTCTAAACTGTAAATTGTCAGAAACATAAATTTCTCTGCTGTCTTGTAAACGTCAGTTGACTTCACTTCAACAGATTGGTTTGTTCAAAAACGTCTTATGAGCGTAAAACTAGCAGAGTTAAATTAAATTGTTTTAAAAAGTCAATACATGTAAGATATTAAGTGGAATCAACAAGTCACACAGACATTATCACAGACAGACTGCTCCCAGTTACAGAGATAAATGATCATAATAATTATAATAATATCATTAATAATGTATGGACTGATTATTATGGGAAAAAAAGCAACCATTATTAATTTAACAATGACACACAGCAAGTTTCCACCACGTCTGTTTTCTTAAACTACAGCAAAAGAAGAGTCTCTGGGGAGTTTTAACTCTCCAACAGTGCATCCTGGGAGGACTAATTATATCCATCCATTATCTATGCACCGGTTAATCCTCACTAGGGT